TAAAAGAAAAGACCACAACCTTTAAGGGATGTTTTTCTTCTTCTGCAACCACCAATAATAGGAAGTCCTTGGAGACTTGGATAACACAGAGCAATTTAGCTAATTATATGCTCTCAGCACAGGACCTCAAGATCATAAAATAGTCAATAATCAGTCCTGTGCCTTCTGGACATTTTCTTGATTTTTCCAGTCTAGTCAGCACCATATCTGTGTCATTCCTCTTCCCTTGTGTCAGCGAGCTCCAATCTCAAACCATTTTCATATCGATCCTGAAGACAGAGGCCAAGACTTAACTACAGAAGGGGGATTGGATCCTCAGCCTGTGGTTATGATGCAGCAGACATGCATCCTTACTCAGTAAGAGCTGGGGGAGAGTATGGATGAAGGGAAGAATACCAGAACTATGATTTCCTCATCATTAAGATAAATATGAATATTTGGTTATCAAAAGAGATGGAAGGATAATAGTATGTAAATTTTCAATTATGAATACTGTAAAGTTTGTGTTCTTGGTTGTGATGCTGAGTCCCCAGATACCATCCAAAAATTTTCTCTCCTCACACACTTATTCTTCTTCCCTTAGCCATTTCAGCCAAGTAGGAGAAAATGGGTTTAACCAAATTGATTTGGAAGCATTCAAAAAGCTTTAAGAAAATGATAATGCAGGTGAGGAAGATGACATTAAGCATAACATCACAAATCATCATTGAGAGTTCTTAAATGCCAAGCACAGAGTTATGTTTTCTATGTAGCTTGTTTTATTACATAGGTATACTGTTTGTCTTTGTCTTTATGCCCACCTTGTTTCATTTTACATAAAAGACTAGAATTTCCAGGTAGGAAAAAAGTGAACTATGCTTTAACTAGGCTGTCATATTATAAACAGAAACATATTGCTATGGAAATCCCAGCAATGTATCTCATTAGAAACCCAAACAGGAGCTGGAGCCATGGCTCAAGTAGTACAACATTTTCCTATCAAAAACAAGGCCCTCAGTTCAAACCCAGTACTGCAAAAATTTTTGAACAGGAATTTCACTTCCCTGACAGTGAAACACTTTGTTCACTGTGTTCTTTGGGGTTTCCTGATAGAATACAGGAAAGAATAAGGTGTTTCACCTGCTCCATCTTCTGTAGGACAGATGGCTGAGATCACAGGCAATGGTCACAGAAAGAGTAGTCACATGATCATTCAGCACAAATCTCTTTCTTGCTCCTAATCCAGATATCATTTCAACTGCCAACAAAAATCCTTATTTTTTTAATCTGCCCACTCAATTGCAAAAAGAGACATACAATCAGGTATTGACTTTAATTCATACTCACAAAACTAGAAGCGTTAAAAATGTATGTCAGATGTCTGTAGGAAGCAATGAAATTTTACTATTTCAGACCGAGAGAAAACTGCCCACATAAGGACAAAACAGATAATGAGTGCTTTGTCTGGGCTTGATTTGTTTTGTATGAATAAAATTAAATCAAAATAAATTTAAGATATTATTAGATATTATTAGTGATAATTTAAGGCTAATCTTCATATCTTTCAAAAATACCCAAAGTTTCAAATTTTCCATTTTCTGTAACAGGCATTTGTGATTCTTCCAGAGCAAATATCTAATTTGACACAATGGGGACATCCCATTAAATACTGAAGAGAATCCTTCGTAGTTCACAATTACTGCCCATAATCAGTGTGACTTTAATACACCAAATAACCTTAGCAAAATGGACTATAGACACCTTTCAGATGGTAGAGCATCTGCCTAGCAAGCATGAAGCCCTGAGTTCAAACCCAAGTACCATAAAAAATAAGCAATAGAGGAGATGAATTTTATCAAAGTATATTATATGCACATATGGAAATAAAATGAAACTCTTTGTACAATTAATATACACCAATAATGAAGACAGAGAAAAAGCAATTCACCTGATTATTTATACAAACATCACTTTAAAACTTCATAGGGCAAATTTACTCCAATATTTTCATAAGAAGATCCCTAGAAAACAGCACATTTAAACTGTACAGTTTTTCTAGTTCTGTATTGAGTTTTCTACTTTCTGATCACAATGTGATAGATGATGTCTCATATTGTTTTCTTATTAGGCAATAAGTATGTAAATTGGTATTCTGTAAAAAAACAAACTGTAGATTTTCATGGGTATAAACACAAGAAGGAGACGAAAAGAAGGAGGCCTGGTATGAGACAGATTTTTAGATTTATATAATTCCAGCCTCCAAAGGCCTTTAACAATTGTAATTATAAACAACTCACTATTTCCATGTTGTTGAATTTGGTATGGCTTTTAAAGGGACCACAAGCTGAGTGTGGTTGTGTGTACCTTTAATCCTAGTACATAGGAGGCTGAGGCAATAAGAGGATCATGAATTTGAAGCCAACTTGGGCTACATAGCAATTGGAAGCCAGCCTGGGGTATTTAGTGAAACCCTTTCTCAACATAAACAAAAAGAAACAGACAAATGATCAAAAAAAGAAACCACAATGACCAAATATTCTCACATCCCAAACTCCACGTAATGTGCTATCTATGTTGTAGAGATGTGTCTTATTCTTCCTATCAATAAAATATGTAAGTTAAAACAGACAGAGAGGTTTACAATATTCTGCATATATAGCAAGTCAGTGACTTGGGATTAAAATATTCATTTCTTGATTCCCATCCTAGGGACTGTCTCCTCTATTAGAGCAAAACGGAGATATCCTTTCCCATAGTATATGAAATTTACTGGTGATTTTTCATGAAGGATTGTTAATAGATGCAATGTTAGGATGTTTTGATGTTATATATTAAGAATAATGACTGACTTTTACTTGAACAACAATGTAGTATTAAAACTGAATATGCATCATCTGTTGGAAGTCAAAGAATTATCATCTACCCTAAGGCTGCATAGAAATTTTCACTTGAGTGATATGGAGAGAGGCACCACATTTTGAAAGGGTTGCCCTAAATATAAATTGACAGTTTAAATGACATCCCACCCTCTGATAATTCTTTTATTCGGTTAAAGCATTTGAAGTTGATGTACATAAGTCACAGAAAATCAGAAAATCATATGTCAATGTAAAGTAATACATTTCAGGGAAACTGTGTTATGATATATATTGCTTACATGAACTTTAAGTATTTTAGCTACTTTGGGAAAATGTAGATATACAAGTTAAAAATTTTCATGGAAACAGACAGTAAACTCTGCCCCCAGTCCATGGCACTGGGGGATAGTTATGAAGGAGAATGGAATCAGGCAGATAAAACATAAACTCATGTTTCATAACTCATAATTGAAATTAGTATCTTATGCTAACTTTGAATCACATATTGTTATGTGATATATTTTAATACATGTAATGGATATTGTTGACAATTCAAATAGGTAATATTAATACAATTTTTCTAAGTGCCAAGATATTCTATGATTGAGATTCTCAATCTTGGTGTAGAAAATAACAATCAAATTTGTCAAACGCAGAGATTCTGATTAAATTTGCTTAAAGTATCAATAAGTATTAAGTACCCACAGGTACAGATTTTGATAAATCCAACTGAGTACCACAAATCTACACAATTTTCAAGATTTCTTTAAATCTCTGCTGCATAATCCATATTAGATAATATAATTACTCTCCCAATTTTATAGTTGAGGCATCTGTTCATCTATGGTTATTTTATTTCTCATATTTTTGCAATTAAATCAAAGTATGACAAAATAATGAACTTAAGTAATCTCTGCAAGTACAAGTAAAGGAATTCCAGTTAACGTCTAAAACAGGATTAACATCAAAGAAACCCTATTCACCAGGCATAAGAAGATTACACCCTTCCAAATTGCATTTGCATTTTGGATACCTATCCTTGGCACTAAAATCCTCAAATGAAAATTGAAAATTATGATCAGATAACAATGAAATTTTATTAATGTGGCATTGTAGAATATGTAATCAGAGAAAAAGAAAACAAATACCAGTCTAATAGGAGATACCTTAGTGATATAGTATGAGGCTAAACAAAAACCTTGCCTAACATTTTTAAATTTTCTAAATAGTTTCTTGATATGTCATTATTCTTTATGCATTGACAGTGCAATGTCAATAATACTATATTTCTAGCTAGAGATGACATGATTATATGCATTTAATTGAACCATATTTATCACAATTTGAAGTTCACCAAATCCAGGAATAGTAATTATATATTAAACAACTTTAAAAGACAAATCAAAGTTGAGTGAGCACTTAACACGATGAGAGATAGTAACCAGACAACAAAGCTGATAAAATAAAGCTGAGAGATAACTGTTATAAAAATGTTTTCTGATTAGGAAGCATCAAATTAAATGTAGGATACAAATAGTCCTAGAGTTAATATACTATTTATAAAATTTTAATGAATAAAAGTTTTTCAAAAATAAAGTATATTTGACTACTCCTTAAAATACTCTAATGGCATTTTTTTCTTATTGTAGGGAAGATTTCTTTTTCCTTTCCGTTCAGATATTTCTTACTCTCATTCTCATAAAACTGAACTGTTTTGAACTGCTTATGGATGACTTGTCATCTTCTAACACTGTCAGTTAAGAGTCCCCAAATTAAGTGAATAAAAAGTGAATAACGTTGACCAATAATGAAGTATTCCAAGGAGTTCAAGCTTGTCACAACCAAGAAATATTGTTGAAGGTGTCTGGCCCTCTAATGTTCATACCTCACTTGTGAGTTCTTGAGTTAAAAATAAGAACAGAAAGTTAGGTGCAGTGGAGTACACCAGTAGTGCCAGAACTTGAGAGGTTAAGACAGGAAGATAATTTGAGCCCAGTAATTCAAACCAGCCTGGGCAACATAATCGAGATGCCATTTAAATGTTTTTGAAAACATATATGTATACCTAAGTATGTACACTCATACATAGATATGCACACACAGATTTCTGGGTATCTGTTTGTTTCATTTTTCCAACCTTCTTTTCCACTTCAAAGGTGTCCTAGTAATATAGAAGCACAAAATATAACACAGGTCTCAGAATTCCACCTCCTGGGGCTCTCAGACGATCCAGAACTGCAGCCCATTCTCTTTGGGCTCTTCCTGTCCATGTACCTGGTCACAGTGCTTGGGAACCTGCTCATCATCCTGGCTGTAATCTCTGACTCCCACCTCCACACCCCCATGTACTTCTTCCTCTCCAACCTGGCCTTGGCTGACATCTGTTTCATTTCCACCACAATCCCAAAGATGATTTTGGACATCCAAACTAACAGTAGAGTCATTTCCTATGCAGGTTGCCTAACACAGATGTCTCTTTTTGCCATTTTTGGATGTATGGATGACATGCTCCTAACTGTGATGTCCTATGACCGGTTTTTGGCCATCTGTCACCCCTTGCATTATTCGACCATCATGAACCCTCACCTCTGTGTCCTTTTAGTTTTGATGTGTTTTTTGTTTGGCATTTTGGATTCCCAGGTGCATAGTTTGATTGTCTTACAATTTACCTATTTCAAAGATGTGAAAATTGCTAATTTCTTCTGTCACCCTTCTCAAGTTGTTCATCTTGGCTTTTCTGACACTTCAACCAATAACATAATCATTTGTCTTCTTGGTTCCATATTTGGTGTTGTTCCTATGTCAGGGATCATTTACTCATACTATAAAATCATTGCCTCCATTCTGAGAATCCCCTCCTCTGGTGGGAGGTATAAAGCCTTCTCCACTTGTAGCTCACATCTGTCAGTTGTTTGCTTATTTTTTGGAACAGGCATTGGTGTATACTTTTTTGCAGATATGTTATCTTCCCCCAGAAAGGTACAATAGCCTCAGTGATGTACACGGTAGTCACTCCTATGCTGAATCCCTTCATCTACAGTCTGAGGAACAGGAACATGAAAGGTGCCTTGAGGAGGATCCAAAGTAGAATAGTAATCTCAGGACTGTACTATTCACTTGTAATGCATGCTGGAACTCACATCAGCATTAAACATCTAGACTTGTAAGTGCTATCATCTTGCATACATTACTTTTGCATTTTGATTAATTTAATTTCTCATGGTAAAATGATGTGAGACACGAGGGAGGGGTAAGTCTGGGGACATTTAAAAAATTTATATTCACCTTGGGAATAAGAAATGTTTCATAACATGATTGATGGTGATGATTACATGACAATGTGAATCTAATTCCACTGTTCTGTGCACTTTAATGATTAAAATGATAATTGTGTTATGTACATTTTAACGAAATTAAACTGAAATTAAAATCCAGATGACTCTCTACAAATTAAACAAATGAAAGAGAAGTGACTATCACAAGTATGTTTCCTATCAGTAGTAGAAGAGCTGAATATATTTATGGCCATTCATTCTCTTTTATTCTTCCTATACTAACATAAGGAATTGGTGCAGATTTGGATAACCTGGGCTAATTTGGATGATTTTGCTTTCTGTCTTTGCATTGACCCTCCAAGGCCACATGATAATGAATATTCATCCAGAACCTTCAGCCCTCCCGCTTGATAATTCCAAGTGCAGTGGGCACCATACTTATGTTACATCCTTCCATTGTTGTCTGTATAAGGAAGCTGGTATGTGACACTGTATTCATGAAATGCCTGAGGAAGGAACCTGAGGTTTAATTAGTCACCAAAGGAGGGGCATGAATCCTGAGTCCTTGATCATGACTTAGGAATTTTCAACACACTGATAAAGTGCTGAGGAAGAGATGATTGCAAGAAGGACTATCAAAAGTGCCATTTCTTCATCAACAGGGAAACATAATCTAGGTGGCCTGAGGAGCATATCCAAATATATGAAATGTAAGCTATGTGTAATGTGAAGCTTTTGATATTGACTGTGATGGGAGTCCATAAATCTTACAGAATTTTTTTCCTTTTTTCCCACATTGGCTGTACTTCCCATAGACATCTTGTCCATGAAAGCAGAAAATAGAGTGTTTTCTAAGCACTCTAAAATGCTCATGAGCGTGATGATAAAGATGAGGAAGGATTACAGAAACTATCACATCCTTGAGTATTACTAACGGTTTCCAAATGCTAGATTCTGTGCCATGTGTTCTATGTAGTTTGCATCATTTCACCTGCATAGTGGCCTTCCATCTATAATTGCCAACTTATAATCATTTTCTAGAAAAAAGAAATACATGTTTTATGTGAAATATACTAGATTGTTAGGTAGAATGGAGTGTAGCTGTGTTTAGATTTTGCTGTGTTCTCAGACACATGGGCAGTCAATCAGGAGAACCCCAGAAGGTTGTCCCCTTAACAAATCAGCCATCTATTCATCTTTCTTGTAACTCTTGGAAGTGACCCATACATTACTGTGGTATTCTCTTTTGAAGTTGTAGTAGATCACAGTGAACTCGAGTTATCATTTGATGTGTCTTCTGTAGGAAAAATGACCACAGTCAATAGGAAAAATCAACAGACAAGGTAGCTCCATAATACTTCATCACAAACCTCACTCCTGCCCCCATTCCAGGATACTCTTGCAGCTCTCCACATCCTCTTCTATTTTTGTAAACATACCACTAAGTCTCAAAAGGTGATATAAAATCAGATCTCAATTTCATTCCTCCCTAGGATCCCAGAAATAGATACATATTGTTCCTCAGATATCCCAGTGGGTAACTCATCTGGGTCTCTCCTTAAATCTTCTGATGGTTGTAAAACAATCAATATGTTTCTTGTATCAGATTCAGAGTGACAATTTAATATTGAATCTTGCCAACTCTGTCTTCTGTTTTTGCAATATAGATCAGGTTGTTATTACCTCTGAGAACCATCATTGTCATTTGTTTAGATTTCAAATTTATACAACTGTACTGAATAAAAATTAAACAAATAATGATGCTCTTGTGTGATTAACATGTTCTTTTGCTTTTTTTTTACTTTTTAAATTGTTGTTGTACTGGGAATACATTGTGATATTCACAAAAGTTCTTACAATATATTATAGCTGAATTCACCCACATCATCATTCTCCTTTATCCACCCTATCTCATTCCTGGAATATTTTCAACATGTCTCCTTTTTCCATTTAGTGTGATTGATCTGTGATAAAAGAATATGGTAAGAGAAAAGACATTATAATTAATAAAGATACATCTAATCCCTTTGTCATTAAATTTAATTGTCTATGACCTGAAGTTTGGCTTCCTTACTTCCCTAGTAGGTTATTTCTTTTTTTTTTTTGTCCTTATGTATGTCAATACTGAATATTCCAAGAGGAATAACAGAATTTTCATTTCAGTTTCCCAGATCCTATATCTTACTTGGCATAGAGAATACATAACATTTGAAAATCTGATAAACACTGTCAAACCCTTCTTTGATTCACAGAAACAGAGTGTGGGTATGGCTTAACTGCCCTGAGACCATTCTTTTCTGAGTTTTCCTTCTTTCTATGGATACACCAAAGGACCAGAGACAATATAAAGTAGTGGTTATGTCCATGGCATGGGACAGGCCGTTGTTGAAAAAGCACATCACCTAAGACACTAAACTTTTCAAAAACCATGTAAGAAAATACCATAAATATGAAAAATAAAGGGTAGAAGAGATAGGGCAGGTAAACCACATTGCTTGGTTTCAGACATATTACAGGGTTTCAAGTCATTCTATTCTTTTAATGATCTTAGTCAAGTGATTATGATTGCATTCCTCAACAATGGGGCTATTCCCATGAATATTGAATTCTTTGATAAAACTAGCAACTTGCAGCCAACTAGAAATTTCCTCTGTGTGGTTATGTGAATGAGAAGGGTCAAGAAAACAAAGGAGAAACTATATTCTGAAGTGAGAAAAATTGGAAGAGCATAAGGAAACAAGAAAGAGGTGACAGAATTGCTGGAAAGCACAGAGAAACAGAATGACAACACAGAAAGAAAAGTAGGAAACAGTTTATACTTCCCTAATGGGAGGGAGAATTGAAGTAACAAACACAAGGTATGCCAGGCAGTCTTGGTGACAATGTACTTGCAGTCTAACCACAGAGAAACCTAGTTCTTTCAAGTCTTAAATCCAATGTGGGTATTGGTGTGACTGTGGCTCAGTGTGGCAGCCTAGCTCTATAGAAGAAATCAACTACATGACTATATTGGACTATAGTCATGGAATTGTAATATAGTCATGGAATTGTATATGTACAATGTAATGCTATATATCATTACATATATGTTCATATATTTATTAATAATATATATTAATATATTAATAATATATTGGTATATATGTGTGTGTGATAGATAGATAGATATACCATGTTGAGAGGGGCTATTGAGTGAGAATGAGGTATTTGGGAGACTGAAAAAAGCAATAAGTCATGGAACCTGGAACCTGGAAACATCCTGCTACAGTATCTGAAATGAGAGAAAGCCTTGAGAGACACTCATGGATATGAGGAGGATTGGACATGGACAGGCTGAGAAATTTAGGCAATAGGGGCTCAGACTGTGGAAGGGAGAGTGGTGTGTGGCTTCACCCTCTATGACAAGTATCAATCCCCATCACCTGGGAATTGCTGAGGAGGCTGACAGCTCCAAGTCTCATCCTCTAGAACTGCCTCACTGTTGCACATGGTTTGCTGTACCATGGGACTATTAGAGTTGAACCTAGATCAAGGGGATTTCTGGATTTCTGCAACCTCCTCTCTCCTGTAGGTTGGTTTATTACTGGGAAGAATATGAAATCACTGGGACTGGCAGGCTGAGTGCTGGTGTTCCTCAAGCATCTCCCACCCAGGAAGAACTCAATGTCATGTTTGTTTGTCATACTCTGTGATGATGCACTAGAGATATACTGCATGGCTTAGACACTTGCCATCCCTGGAAGTACAAATGGGGAAACCTCCAGAGTGAATGGGAAATTTCTCAGTCTATATGCTGCAAAGCTCATTGAAACCAATGGTGGATCTTGGTACACAAAATCGGGAAATTTCTAAAGTGAATGCGTCTTTACTGCTAACAACTTGACTGGCCTGACCTTCAATCAGCATGCATCATCAAACTGTAGAGTGGGAACAGTGAGAAATTCAACAAACTCCAGCTATGATCCATTATATCTCCACCCCTAAAACCAGCAAATTAAAATATTTGAGGACCAGTAAAGAAGATTCTCTGTTTTTCTTTTCATTTTAATATTTTAAAAATATTTAGGGATTTTTTGCTTTCTTTTTTAATGTTTTATGTTTTATTTTTAATTCCTCTTCTGACCTTTACTGAATTTTATTTACATATTTTTCTTTATGGTGTGATCAAATTCATCTCTTGCTCTTATATCTTCCTTGTACTTTTTCCCTTTTATCTTCTTTTTATTTTCTTTGATTTAAACTTGCTTCTTCCTTTTCCTTTTCACTGCCCCTTAATTATTTTATCCTTTTATTATTATTATTTTTACATTTGTTAATTTTTAGCTACATAGTATATTCTACATTATATTTACCACTATCTTTCTCCATGATTGTTGGTGGCTTCACAGCTGTATTTAGTTTTTCTTGTATTTCTATATCTGGGTTCCTTTGGTGATGGTGGTGATGGTGGACGTGTTATGGTGGTTTGTCTTCTCTCTGTGAGTGGTACTGGGGGTTGATCAAAAAAGAAAGCCCCCATATAAAGTTGAAAGAGATATCCATCCTAAACAATACAAAAATTACAACATAGAAATATGACAAAGCAAGGCAATCTAACTCCTCCAACATTTTATGACTTTTCAATAACTGAATCCACAACTATGGAAATGAATGCCAAACAATGAATTTAAAAGCCTAGTTTTGTCATCAAATAGGATTCATAGAACAAAAGAATGAAATAAAGAAGTCAATTCCAGATTTAGATGAGAAATTTAACAACTTGGATGAGAAATTCAGCAAAGATCCAGAGGTTCTGAAAAAAAATCTTAGAAATGAGACTTTCAATAAAGCAAATTTAAAAGCTCAATTGAAAATTTCAGGATTTGGAGGTCCATATCTTCTATTGGCACACA